TCGCTGCGATCGACAGAGCCGCGACACTTCCATTTCCGTTGAACAGTAGAAATGATAAAAGAGACTATTTGATGGGTTAATTGTTCATTTTACAGAGCTTTACTGTTAAGATAAATGTTATTCATGCCTAAGATGCAAGACGGCTGCATGTCTTCAGTCTTTTATCCAATCACAAATTAAATTGTTAAAATGTATCGCTACATGTATCATATACATGTACGCAATCACATTGGATACTAGTATGTAAAAGACAAGCCATTTGAGAAAACCGCTGAACGGTATGATACTCCCTAATGTTAACTGGTGCAACTGAATTGTTGATATGGTACGTAGGTTCGACCATTTGACCACCTTCTGGGGGTAGGTGATCAAATTTTTTATAGAATATAGTAACAACTCATGTGTAATAGGTATCAGCAATAACAACTTTAACAACTCCACAATGTTTTTCCCTGCGAAAGGCGGCAAAAAATACACTTGAAAAGCTTCTTTAAAACCACCAAACACATTGATCTGAAATATTTAGCATCTATATGGGAAGCAATTAATTTTTGAAAAGAATGTTATGATTGGTCACCATTTTATTAGTTTTTTTATTGATGCCAAATTTACATAATCATTTTTAAACTTGCCATTAAATCTCTATATTGAACTTTTTTAGTCAGCTAAAAAAGAATTCAGATTACGTGTGGGATTCACAGCATCAGAGCGCCACCTACGCCAACTTGTCAGGCTAGTCCAAGATACATTTTCAAAAATCAAAATGGCTGTACCCACACATACCCACAATAACACAACAATCTGTGCACCTTTTTTTATAAATCAAATAGCAGTGATCAACATCAATACTAGTCAAATGTCATTTATCAAAATGTTAGACATTGGGTACTAAATCATTATTAACCAATCAGTTCCTACTTTTACAGTGCATTAGACAGGTCTTGGCAGAAAAGAGCACACAATAAGAATAGTTGAGATACCAATACATACCAGCATAAATAGGATAGCATAGACAAGACAAATCAGATTTGGATCATTTTAATTATACTTGTATGCATGTGACGTAATTTGATTGACATCATTAATTAACCAGTATACTTACACATTCATGCTCACTAACTATGACAAAGTGATCACCACACATACATTGTAATATTGAAAATAAATTGCATGTGTGAAATGGACTGAAAGCTCTGATTATACAATTGATAAATATTAAGTAAAATGACTTAGATATGCGGTTTTAACATATTTTATGGTACAGTAAATTGCTCTTACAAAGCTCCAGTCAATTTGCGTGTACTGACTATTGAGAAAGTGATCGCTTCATTTCTATGACAAAGAAATCCGTTTCCCATCAAACTTTAAAAATTCTGCACACTTAGTCTTACTAGTTGCCATATGGTAATAGCCGCAATAGTTCTTTTTTTCAGCATTTTGACATAATGCTATATACGGTAGCTTACTGTACCTTATTTTAATTAGGATTAATCCTTACTGAAAAGACTTTGTGGGTGTTTATTGGAGTTTATTTTTACTAATTTTTGATGAGTCAAATGTAAAATATAAATAAAAATGTATATTCACTGGATTTCATTTTCTTGATTCATCCCTTCAGTGAAAATAGCAAAAATAAATTCCAAGTGCAAATAAAGTACTTTACAGTATACAAATAGGCTGATAAAAATGCAGTATAAATTAACATGCCTTATCTATTAATACATGTATATACTCTTTGACAGCAGGAAAAGAAAATACACACATCAGCTCAAATCTGTATAGTTGATATAACAGTAAGATACACAACCATTGTTCATGTGCAAAAACAAACACTAATATCAAAACAATCCAACACAGTATCCTTGAATCCATTGACATTCTAATATCCGAAGATAAATCTGAGAATGTATACTGTACAATACAAATTAATAACTCTTGTGTGAAAAAATAAAATTCAAATAATAGCAGCATAATCTTCAAAATGAAAAGCACAAAAATTGCACATCAATGTAAAATTCAATGGAATTTCTAAATTGAAATCGATTATGAGGAATAGTTTGTACTTGCTTTAAATGTCCATTGTGATTTTAAAAATAATAATAATGCTAAAAAATAAAATAAAACACCAAGTGGAAATGGATATCATTGATGTGGAAATAACAATTTACAAAACACATTATACAAAAGGTCAATACATTAAAGAGTCCTCTGCGTGATAAATTACATGTCCGCTTAGAATTTCAGCATACGTCACAACAAAATTTCAACCAAATCTATGAATATTCTGAACATAGAGGGCAGCCATAGGCTCTTATAATAGATTGACAAAACACTGAAACACTTTCTGATTTCATTTTTGCCTATGTTTACTACACTTCTGTAGAATCTATGAGACGACTCAGTAAAAAAATAGTCATTGACTTTCTAAGATACCATAAAGAACTAGTTGATTGCTGAAACATGCTCAGAATATATACTATAGTGAACCAATGCATTATAAAAACAGTTTTAATAGTATGGAAAACTGCATGCAATCCAAGCTATATTGGAAACTCATAAATAATCAAAAAATTGCTGGCACTTTTATTTTCAACTTACAACATATAGCAGTTTTATTAACAATAACTTACTTGGAACTAACTGATATTTGTTTAGTTAGAATCTGCCTCATATCAAATGATGTTACTGAATCACATACAAGTTACAACAAATTTTAGTCCAATCAAACCATTAATTTTATTGGTGGGATGATTTTAAAGGAAGCATAATAATATCAGAAACATTAAGTACAATATAATAATGATAATTTATCATCTATTTTTGGAAAATGAGCAAAAAATATAATAATCATTTAACAAGTTTTCATGAAATTTTATCACCATGGTAAACCTTAAAAAAACTTTAAGAAACTTTAAAAAAGCATACAAATTATGAATATTTTGATATTAGATTTCATTGAAAACTTCCTAACCATTGCAAACCTTGTTTTCAATATACCCCGGTAGATTGAGAAAATATATTAATGTAAATAGTGTCAAACTAACCAACTAGCTATTAGTAGTCTACAATTTTGACGCAGACACCTGGCAGAATAAGTGCTGACAAATGCATGAAAGTGAGAAACTCTTTGCAATTTACTCAGGATGCAACAAAAAATTACCATAATTAAATTAATCAGAATATTTCAGACAAAACTTCAATATCATGTAACTCGTTTTCATGAAAATTGTATCACCATGGTAAGCCTTAATTTTAAATAACTTAAATGTGAAATATTTGAGAAACTTTCAAAAAAGCATAAAAGTCTATGAACAAAAAATATATGGGCTTGTATATCATCAATAACTGGATGGTTAAATAGAAAATTATGTCTTGTTTTTGAACAAAACCTATCAAAGGTGGCCAGTTTTGAACAAGTTTCATTCATACCAAGTTTAAAGACACGACTTGATTTTCCACCAGAATAATCTGTGACCAAATATTTTCTGACAATTTAAAAATATAATGAATGTGAAGCATTTACATTCAATACAAATGTGATAATAAAATTGTGAACTCTCAATTTGAGTAGGTTATAGTCGATAACTATTTGCACTGCTTTGAATATGCATTATTAATTACCATGTCATTATAACAACAAATAAGGTAATAGTACTGCTTTAAATATGCACCAGTAATTATCCAATACAATTCCAGTTGTTTTGAATATGCATCAGTAATTACAATGCAATTATATATCAACCAATTAGGTTGTAGTACAAGGAATAGAGATTAGTAACTACCATAATACTATGATGCACCTTCCATACAATTATGAATATTTGATATCAGGTTTCAATGACAATTGTTTAACCATTGCAAACCTTGTTTTCAAAGTAGATTGTGATAATGTATATTCATGCAAGCAGTGTCTAACTATCAATTATACAATTTTGACAGTGGCAGAATAAGTGCTGACAAACACTTAAAAGTGGACACCTCTCCACAATTTACTCAGAATGCAACAACAAATTACAATAATTAAAGAACAATTAATCAGAATATTTCAGGCAAAAATTTAATAGTTACAAATAGATCTAAAATTCATTGTACATTTCATTGTTAAAATTTATAGTGCGGACACCGTTACGTAACAGTTCCACACTGATTATAAATATGTGCAGTACATTTGAATATTATAGTAGAATATAAAATAGATATTTGTTTTGTTATTTCATTAGCCGTGAGTAGAATACATGGTGAATGTTAGATTGTGGTATTGAATAAAACAAAATGCATGTAAATGATGAAGTGGTTTCAGAGAAGTCAATCATGGTAGTACACGCGATTCAGCAGATCATGCCAAAGCAAACAAACAAATTATGCAAATCAGGTGAAACTATTGTTCAATTTGGATATTCACTGGGTTTTAATTTCATGCATTTAGTTATCAGCGAAATGAACATAAATCCCAGTGAATAATTAAGCCTCATACAGTAGGTCAAGGTTATTATAATTTTACCAGGGCAGTGATAGCTTAGACCTGAACTGCATTGTGGGAAAGCACAAGATGCTAATGTGTATAGAGGGGGGGCAAGGGTTATTTTCGTTCAACGTAATTGCAATATTTTTTTGTTCGTACAACATAAATAGAAAAAATAAATTCCATAATTCTGTAATCACAGGCTAGACGTTCAACCTAATCAATCAAATATTTTTTTCGTACACTGTCTTTTTTCTCGTACGTACAAAAATTCACATCCAAATAAAAAAATCGTAAAGAATAATCCAGGGAAATTACATTTTAGAAACTGTAAAACGACTAGATGACACAATTCCCTACAAAATTGAATGTCAAGACGTAAAAGGCCCTCTAACCAAATGAAGAGCATTACGAGGGTAATATGCGCATGCGTCCTTTCACACGGCGCAGCAATAGTGGAGAATTTGAGTCGGAGAGCTCTTCGGACCATTCAATGTTCCATTTGTTAACACTGTAAACTGTAAAAACGTCTTTTTTTTCTTCATAAATTGTGAAAAGCCCTTTTTATTTCCCGTAAAACCGTACCAGCTACCCCCCCTTGCCTCCCCCCTCTGTATAGTACTGGAGAAAACACATCCATTATTTGATTTTTACTTGGTTAATTAAACGAACAGAAAATCTGCTGAAAATAAATTCCCCGCTAAAAATACAAATCAAAGCACTCTGATTAAATGCTTGTGTTCTCCCCAGGGTAGTGACACTGCACCACTCCTGGGTGTTTTTGTTTACCGCCTAATGGAATTGATTAGATTGTTATGGAAACAAAAAATGAGAAGCCTCAATAACTGGATAGAGTACTGCGTTGACATCAACACATCTTAGGGAAAACAGTGTGTGCATATGACGACATACATATACAGAAAGATTCTGTCATTACCACTGTAAATGTGTAAAAGCAGGGTACTGAGGATAAAGATATGCAGACTAACATGTCCTATACATGTATAACCTAGACTTGGTCTGCCTTAATAAAACCTTTGAGATTGAGTCTAGCTGCATTACAAAAATGATTTATCGACAATAAGTTGACAGTCTTCCGTAAATCACACTCTATGGTGCAAACCTAGTCGTCGGATGGCTTTAAAAAACCCAATTTACTTTTCTTGGCTTCTACCTCGTTATCGGCAGATGATCGATGTCTTTTCTTGACAAATTTCTTACCCACTGTGCCAATTAACGAGTCGTATCTGAGAAATGAAAGTAAAGCATAGCATTAGGCTCAGTAGAAAGGTCATTACAGTAGCGGGATACATAGAATGAATGGCAATGAAGCAAGTAGTTAAAACTCCCTTAAGTACATGAGAACTGTAGCATCAAAGTGAAGAGAAATTGCCCTTGGACTCAAGCTGTTACAAGCAGTGTAATCACGACTTGATACATTTCTGTTCTGTTGTTTTTCAGTTTCCTACATCGTTTGACAATAAGTTTAAGCTGGGGTTAAACCTGACCAATTATTAAATTAAAATTCAAGCACAGGTAATTGCATAGGTTAGAGTCTTTATAATTGCAACACTGCAGTTGTTGTCAGCATCTTGAAACTGCACTAGGCCAAAATCAGCTGCTTTGCATCAAACACAGCCCCAAACTGAGGTTAATCTACATAAATATAAAAGATCTATTGTACAATATGTCATTTACACAATAAAAATTCAATCATATCATGTGACATTGGAATGACACTTTCTAATGCTTTTATTTGCTGAAAACCTCCATCATAATCTGAAATAGCTTAGTTGTAGGTTTGAACCCCTCCCTTAAACAACTTGTTCAGTAGTTGATCTCATCAATTCCAGATGCTGGGCCTAAACTAAAGCTGCACAGCCTCAGCCAAGGTGCAAAGTCTGATTTACAATTATAGCAGTTTATGTACAGTTAACTTGAGTGATTTATTCATTTACATATGAATAGAACTGTTGTGGTTTGCAATTAGCATGATGACAAAGATGCACGACCGGACCAGAGCATTAACTTAAGAGTGTCATGAAAGCAATTGCCTTGATGCCTTAGGACTATACCATGGTGCACTTAAAAAAATACAGATCATTCCTTTACACCATGGACTTCCATGTTTACATCAAAGCAATCTTATCTTAACACCATCTACACGACAAAAGTTCATGCCCAGCAAAATTTGTATAATTATTTGGAATGAAAGAACACATGCATTTCATTTCCACTAAAAACCTGTACTAACCATGATTTTTATCAACAAGTGGTAAAAATATCTTTGTCTTGTTTGCAAAATAAAGACACATGAATAATTAATGATTACTACAGTATTGTTACTACAGTACGGTATAATACCTTTTTGCCATTTCATCATCGGACACTGCAATTTCTTTTTCTCTTTCTTCGGCTAATTCTAGTTCCTGTTCTGTATCATAAGTTTTCATAATTTTCTGCAATAAAGAGTAAGGATTAGAACTAGTACCTGAAATATTAATACACAGTGCAGTACTGTTCCATACATGACAATTGTGTTGATGAAAGATTGATATAGCAAAGACTGTCTCTCCATGACATTTTAAACCTGTTGATATGGGACTCACAGTGATGTATACAACGCGTGTAAAATACATTATTTATTTACACGAAATTCGAAAACACAATGCGCAACGACAACTGCTCTGCATTACCACCATAAAAATGTGGACTGATATTAAATTTAATTGAAACATTTAAAGACAGTTATATGCTAATTAGCCATCATTCATGTGCAAATTAGCCAATGAGCTGTGATATAAAACTTGAGTGAATACTGTAAAATGATGATTTAGTGATAATAAAATCCAACAAATACAGCTTTTTTCCTACATTTTACATTCAACTCATTAAAGAGTATTGGAGAAGTATTAAAATTTCATTAGCCTTCCAAACAAAAAGCTAATATTTGTCTGCTATTTGAGATATACAACATGAAAACAATGTGATCCACATTATTGAAGTTTATAATACTCTTAGAAAATACATTAGATTTTACATTTGTGGTATTCAGTCTAATTTATTCCAGGACCCCACTACCACAAGTTCAATTTGAATCTGATTTTTTGAGATACATGCATCAGAAATTCGCTAATAATAATTAGATAATCAATGGGCATGATTTTTATTATTAAGTTAATTACATCTGTGGATTACCCCGGAGCATCTTTGCACATTGTGTAACAATCTGCAATGAGTATATCCAAATTTAAATCCAAAACTAATGCATTGTTCCCAGGCATTTTTACATACAAAATCTTATTGAAATACAATGAGTAGTTATAATGAGAAGTTCCTTTATAATGTCATAATTAATTCTTAAAGAAAAAGGTGGAAAGCCGAAAAGTAAATTATTATGCAAATTATTATAGATGTAAATAAATCCAAAACTAATCAGACTGTTGCATTGAGTTTTTACACACCAAAACTTATTAAACTGAGATGGTTAGTATTGGGGAAAACTCACTAATTACCATGCAAATCAGGTAATTAATATGCACAGATTTGAATGTAAAACTAAAAAGGTCTGTGCAATGTCACATATTATCAATGTTCTAAGTTTTATTGAAATGTAATAATTAGTACATGAAATATCAGTGGAAAAGCCAAAATGTATTATGCAAACTAGTTAATTAATATCCACGGATATAAACCCAAAACTACAACGAGTAGTTTTTTAGACATCAA